ACATCTCCGAGGGATGTCACTCACTGGGCATAGAAAGAAAGCAGGCTGTTTGCACCATGCCCCCACTGGACACCAAGAGGAAAGTCTTAGAGTTCCTTAGGGCTGCTGGCTTCTGCCAGATTTGGATACCAGGATACTCAGAAAAAGCCAAACCTCTACATGAGGCTATCAAAGGGCCTGAAAAGGAGCCCCTAGGATGTGGACCTGAACAAGAGCAAGCCTTCTCAGAAATAAAGGCCCTGCTGGCCTACATCCCTGCCCTAGAAATACCTGATGTGACCCGGAACTTCAATCTCTTCGTTTATGAAAAAAATCTCATGGCTTTGGGAATTCTCACCCAGACTATAGGACCTTGGCAAAGACCAGTGGCATACTTGTCCAAGCAACTGGACACTGTGGCAGCCAGCTTGCCACCCTGCCTGTGGGCCCTGGTGGCCATGGTCCCCCTAATTGGGGAGGCAGACAAACTCACCTTGGGACAAAACCTCAACATGAAGGTTCCACATGCAGTGACCACCCTGATGAACAGTTGGGGGTAAAAATGGTTGACCAACTCCAGGATGGCTCATTATCAAGGGCTGCTCTGCGAGAACCTGGTGCCCCTTGAAACAGTGTGGACACTGAACACAGCCATGCTTCTACCCACCAAATCCGGCTCCCTGGACCACAACTGCAAAGAACTAATGGATGAGATATACTCCAGCAGGCCTGATCTGACAGACCTGCCCTTGACTGACCCAGACATAGAACTATTCAGGAAGAGTTGTAGAGGCAAAGCCCCTGCCTCAAGGTTGGTCAGCACAGTGAGCAGAACTATGGGCACTAATCCGAGCATTCAGACACTCAAAGGGGAAACAGGTCAAGATCTACACTGATTCTAAGTATGCCTTCACCACCTTACACATCCACAGGGCCATATATAAGGAAAGGGGGCTGCTGTTGGCAGGGGGAGAGACTATTAAAAACAAAGAAGGGCCGGCCCGGTGGCGCACTGGAGAGTGCGCCACTTGGGAGCGCGGCGGCACTCCCGCT